TGGATATGTGTATCTCATGAAACACAAATCGGAATGCTTTGACAAATTCAAAGAATTCAAGAACGAAGTAGAAAAACAATTAGGCAAAAGTATTAAGACCCTCCGCTCGGATCGAGGAGGTGAATACTTAAGCCTGGAGTTCGATGACTATCTGAAAGAGCATGGGATTTTATCCCAACTCACTCCTCCGGGGTCACCTCAGTTAAATGGAGTGTCTGAGAGGAGAAATCGGACTTTGCTACACATGGTCCGGAGCATGATTAGTCTGACAACATTGCCAGAATCATTTTGAGGATATGCATTGAAAACAGCAGCACACACACTCAACAGAGTTCCATCTAAAGCTGTCGAGAGCACACCATACGAACTATGGCTTGGGAGAAAACCGAGTTTCTCGTACTTTAAGATTTGGGGCTGTGAAGCTTATGTAAAACGTCTCATGACGTCTAGTAAGTTGGGGCCTAAATCTGATAAAGTAATTTTTGTGGGATACCCCAAGGAAACTAGAGGGTATGCGTTCTATCATCCATCCGATAACAAAATTTTCGTTGCTCGGAATGGAACCTTCCTTGAGAAGGATTTTCTTTCAACTATCACTAGTGGGAGAAAGGTAGACCTTGAAGAAATTCAAGAACCACAAGAAGAAGTCCCGATAGTGTTGGAACATGAGCAAAGAGATCAAGCAATTGAACCTCAAATTGCTCAAGATATACCATGTAAGTTAGACCGGATACATAATCCTCCGGTCAGATATGGATTTCTCATGTCTGATGAAGGTGACGTCTTGTTGGTAGATCAAGGCGAACCAGAGACCTACCTCGAGGCAATTACATGCCCCGAATCCGGTCTATGGCTCGAAGCCATGAAATCTAAAATGGAGTCTATGTACACAAACCAAGTCTGGACCTTGGTTGATGCGCCCGAAGGGGCAAAACCCATTGGATACAAGTGGGTCTTCAAAAAGAAGACAGACGTAGACGGGAAGGTTCATACCTTCAAAGCTAGATTGGTAGCAAAAGGTTATAGACAAATCCACGGAATTGACTATGATGAAACCTTTTTTTCCAATTGTTATGCTGAAATCCATTCGGATAATGCTTGCAATTGCAGCCTATTACGATTACGAAATTTGGCAGATGGACGTCAAGACGGCTTTCCTTAACGGGAACCTCAAAGAGGATGTTTTTATGACACAGCCTGACGGTTTTCAAATTTCTGGTCAGTCTGCCAAAGTTTGTAAGCTGCAACGTTCAATCTACGGATTGAATCAAGCATCTCGGAGTTGGTACATATGCTTCGACGAAACCATTTCCAATTTTGGTTTTGAGAAGAACTCTGACGAATCTTGTGTATACAAGAAGGTCAGTGGGAGTGTAATAGTATTCCTAATCTTATATGTCAATGACATACTGTTAATGGGTAACGATATTCCCGCTCTCACTTCTGTAAAGACGTGGTTGAGCAAGAACTTCTCTATGAAAGACTTAGGAAATGCTAGTTATGTCCTTGGCATAAGAATCTACCGAGATAGATCAAGAAAGTTAATAGGTCTAAATCAAGGTACATATATAGATAAAATCCTTGATCGATTTAGCATGTCTAACTCAAAGAAAGGATCTTTACCTATGACACCTGGCATGGTTCTTTCCATGTGCCAGAGTCCTTCTACTCCCGAGCAGAAGGAACTCATGATGAAGGTTCCAAACGCTTCTGCGATTGGATCCATCATGTACGCCATGATATGTACTAGACCTGATGTCTCATTCGCTTTAAGCGTGACCAGCAGATACCAAGGAAGTCCAGGAGAAGCACACTGGACAGCGGTCAAGAACATCCTCAAGTATCTTCGCAATACTAAGGATGCATTCCTGGTATACGGTGGTGAGGAATAGCTAAAGGTGGTCGGTTACACTGATGCTAGCTTCCAAACCGACAGAGACGATTCAAAATCACAAGCAGGATATTTGTTTTGCCTGAATGGTGGAGCTTTTAGCTGGAAGAGCTTCAAGGAGGATACAAGTGCCGATTCGACTATAGAGGCTGAGTACATAGTTGCCGCCGAGGCAGCTAAAGAAGCTGTTTGGATCAAGAAGTTCATTACTGAACTTGGAGTGGTTCCTAGTATTAATGACCCTATCTCACTGTTTTGCGACAACACTGGGGCCATTGCACAGGCAAAGGAACCGCGATCTCACCAGAAAACCAAACACATTGTACGATGCTATCACATCATACGAGAAATCGTAGATAGAGGAGATGTGATGATTTGCAAAGTAAATACTGGTGACAACATAGCCGATCCCTTGACCAAGCCTTTAGGAAAGCTAAAGCATGAGGGTCACACTAGGTCCATGGGAATTCGACCGATGCCAGATTGGCCATAGTGCAAGTGGGAGATTGTTGGAGTTGTGCCCTGATGGCCAACTGTTTATCATTATTCTATCATGTATAGGCAGATATAATATGTTTACACATCTCATGCTAATGTAAACAAATATTATATTCCTAGATTTATATTTAAAAGATGTTTATCAAATAGTGTTTTTTCTGCTGATGAGACTAACATCTTGAAATAAATATTTATCTAAATGTCCATAGTCGAGTATTAACGAGAGTGGGATATCGTTAATGCATGTGAGACTAGTGTGTGTTGGATGTTTGACTTAGTCTCATAGTCAATGACGGTGTGTTCGCATCCGCACATGGGCAGATATTATCTAGAGATAATAGGATGCCAGACTGACCCATCCTAAAGATGTTGTTTGAAATTTAGTGTATTGGGCTATGATTTTAGTGTGTGGTTTTTCGGCCAAAATTTCTAGTGGGAGAAATTTTATATTTGGTTCCATTAATATCATTTTGTGTATAGAAAATATTTATAATATTTTCTAAATATTATTAGAAATATTTTCTAATGAAATATACAAGATTATTATTATCCCAATTTTAATCTTTATATTTTATACTACTATAATCTTTACTAGCATAAAGGTTGTGGTACACTCCGGCGTTGTTCGTGTGTCAAAGATGGAGACCGGACGCTTGAACGGTTACGTTTGCACTTTCAACGCTCTTCCTACGACTTCTTCATTTTTACCGCTTACAGAGAAAGGTATTAATTTCTTACCACTATATGTTTTAGTACGTGATTCTGGGCAAGATAATCATGTTAGGATGTTAAAAATTTTATATTCCGCTGCCTATCCTTGCATGGTTACCTTTCATGAGATGGGTTTTCCGGTCCGCCTCATGGTGTGCATCGTTGAACTTGTCTCTATTGCTGGTGATGTGCTCCTGGTCTTAATTGGTCGGGTCATCCCTCCAGTGCTGTTACTTTGAAGAAATTGGAGTGCTCAAAGCAAGCCTACGCTCTGTATACATTAGCATGGGATAACATTATAGGATTTCGATCCTATAACGTTGGCCTTCGGGATCGGAGTAATGATTAACAGGGACAGTTGAGGGCATTTGTATTTCATAGTCAGAGGAGAAATTCTTGGATTTATGAAAGACGAACAACTGCGAAAGCATTTGCCAAGGATGTTTTCATTAATCAAGAACGAAAGTTGGGGGCTCGAAGACGATCAGATACCGTCCTAGTCTCAACCATAAACGATGCCGACTAGGGATCGGTGGATGTTGCTTTTAGGACTCTACCGGAACCTTATGAGAAATCAAAGTCTTTGGGTTCTGGGGGGAGTATGGTCGCAAGCCTGAAACTTAAAGGAATTGACGGAAGGGCACCACCAGGAGTGGAGCCTGCGGCTTAATTTGACTCAACACGGGGAAACTTACCAGATCCAGACATAGTAACGATTGATAGATTGAGAGCTCTTTCAAGGGTAAAATGTAAATTATTATTACTCAAATCAAAACGAGTACATCAATGTTATATGCTTAACCATCAACATGGTTACACGCATAATTACAATGTTACAAGTACCACGCATCTAAACAAGCATCATCACTACATTACATCATTACAACGATTACATACATGTCCTATCAAATTCCCTTCAAAGAGTCATTAGTCTCTTCTACAACACAGGGAGGCCAAAGCATTCAAAATTACAAGAACAGAAGTAAAAACCAACAAGTTGTAACATTTTCCAAACGAAGAGCAAACAGCAGTATCATTGTGAAGTCATTCAAAAGTAAACCCAATTCCCTTCGAAGAGTGTTATTCTCTTCTACAACACAGGGTTGGTTTGAAGCGCCATGGTATACACAATCAACACCCACAGCCAAACATTCATCACGCAGCCCCGTTGTAGTGGTAGTCCTCAAGCCAATTCCAAATCCAAGCTGCCTGAGGAAGTGGTGTACCCCATCCTTGCAAGTCCCAAGTCCAGTGTCAAAAGTCCAGTGACATGTCCTTGCAAGTCCCAAGTTCATTCAATCGTTCCAAAGAGTCACATCTTCAATATGTTGTACTTAGTCACCTTTCACACGTGTGGTGACTAATCCAATGCTAAACCTCATCAAAGTTCAGTTAAAAACATCGTCCAAGTTCTCAACCAAGGCCAAAGGACCTCACCATGTAACCTGGCCAATCTGAAGAATGATTGGTGACACGTATCATGGTTAAGATCCCTGGAGAAATCAAAGTCAAGAGAGAAATGAAAGGAAAGGAAGAAAGAAGGGAGAAGGGGGGGGGGTGGAAGGAAAGAAAGAAGAGGATGTAAAGACATCCCAACCTGGGACCCAATCCTTACTCTATGTATCCAGAAGGGGTACACAGAGGCAGGTTTGTTTCCACCACCCCAAGGCAGGGTAAACCCAGTCCACAAGTCAAACATGTATCAGGTCACTCTGAAGAATGAGTGCTTCAATACATTAAGACTCATGTCCAAGAAAAGGAAGGAGGGGGAAGAAGACAATCACAGAAAGAAGGGAGGGAGAGGGGGACAAAGAAAGGAAAGGTGTGAGACACCCCAACCAGAACCCTACCTTCTCTCTACATATCCAGAAGGGGTAAGTAGAGGTAAGCCAGTTTTCACCACCCCATTAGTAAACTAACAGGGTTCACCCCCCCATTCCCAAGATAACACACCAAGGGAACAAAAACAATGTTTCAGAAGCACCCATCAAGAGAATCACAGTCAAAATCCACACCAGTGATCTATTCCAATCCATCAAGAACCAAACTCCAAGGCCCTAGTTATTCCGTAGGGATCAACCAGGGCATCCTCAGGGTGTTACTAGTTCCAGAACAACAGAGCCCACCATTGAGGTTGTATTTCCATCAGCAACCAAGGTTTACTCATGGATATACTCCCTCCAACCCCTAACCAGGACCCAAAGGTATTGGTGGTGATTTACCCAAGGGGTAAATAATCATCAATAGCTTTGTTTCCTAACTTCCAGCCACAAGAAAATGCATAGGCCATTAATCAAAGATTAATGGTCTAGGTTTTTGAAGAGAGAAAAACAATTTTTGAGAAGACGTTTTGGCCCAAAATACTCCCTAGAGATTCAAAAGGTAATCTATAGGGTGTGTATTGTTCCAAAATGCCCCCCAGTAGCCCCAGAGATCCTATGAGTCCAAGGAAACTCACAAGTTAGCCAAGGACAGTAGGTCTCCAGCCCCTAACCTGGCCCAAGGATGAAGTTAGAGATCCATCAAGGCATCTCCAAGATCTGCCTTGTTCCCACCCCACCCAGCAAAACCACTAGTGTAATTACACATCCATTAGTAATACAGTTTACCAAAGGGTGTGAGATTACCAACCCCAAACCTAGATCCAAAACTAGTGATGGAGGTTTATCCAAGGGGATACACACCCATCATCAGTTTTCTTTCCAAACAGCCACCACCAAGCAAGCATAACCAATCCTCAAACAGAAGGGAGAGGTTAGGCAAAGAGAACCAACTCAAAAGAAGACAGGACAATCAATCCAAAGAGAGGGGTGTACTTACAGCGCAATCATAACATTAGGGAAGAGTCTATAAACAACCTTATAGACTCCCACCTTGATTTGGCAGATAGTGGCTTCATTGTTGCCAATTTAGTTATCGAAATACACAGCATTCCTCAGCTTCCAAATATGATGGATTGTGCTGATGGTTTCCAGTTTCCAGAGCTTCCCTACATCCCCATGTTGTCCATGCCTTCTACACAGCCATTTCATGGATCTTTCAAGAGTAGATAGGGCAGGGGAGATGTGTAGCTAGTCTCTGATGTTCTTCCAAATGGCTTTGCTGATAGTACACTCAAAGAAGAGGTGGTCAATAGTTTCCTCTCCCTCATTTCAGAGACTACATTTCCTGTCCATGTCCACAAAGCTAAGATTAACCTTTGTGGGTAGTCTCTTGCGCAGCGCCATCCAAGCAGTAACTGTATATCTTGGGGGGATATAACTCTGCCATATAATTTTCATCCAAGGTTGCTTGACACCATGAACCCTTAAGATGTCATACAGTTTGGCAGTGTTTCCCCCATCCTCCTCCCATAAGTTGCTCATAGTTTCTTCCATATCGTCATAGGCATCACCAATATTGTGAAGAAATTTGTCCCTTACCTTAGCCAGTTTTTTGAAGAGGTGTGAATCCCCCTTTTTGGGGATCCAAGTCCAGACACTTCCCCCTTGGAGGTAAACAGCATGTACCCACTGTACCCAAAGAGTTTCCTTGTTGGAGGCAATGTTCCACAGATTTTTGGTCAACAGAGCCTGATTCCAAACAAAGGAGTTTCTGATGCCCAGTCCTCCTTCATCCTTGGGTTTGCAGATGTCATCCCAAGCCACTTTATAAACCTTATTGCCCCAAAGGAAGGATCTGCATAGGAAGATGATTCTATTGAGGACAGATTTGTGGATGGGGAAAGCTTGGAGCCAAAATCCTTCAATACCCTGTATAACTATCCTAATCAGTTCACTTCTTCCAGCAAGTGACAGAGTTTTAGTGTTCCATCTTCTAATATTTGCATCAACAATATCCACAAGGGGGACAAAGTTTGTATTAGTTGCCCTTTGAGAAGTGAGTGGAAGGCCCAAGTATTTAACAGGAAGCCTGCCCTGGGGGAAGTTAACAAGGTTGGATTTCTGAGCATTCACATGCAGTCCAGACACCACAGAGAAATGTTTAAGGTCATCAACTAGGACCTGGACAGAATTATGATCCCCTCTAGAAAACATCATAATGTCATCTGCAAAAGCAATATGGGAAATCTTCAGTTTGGAGCAATTTGAGTGATAACTGAACTTCCTTTCCCTGGTCATTTTGTTGAGTACTCTTGATAGATACTCAACGCAGAACAGGAACAATGTAGGTGCCATGGGGTCTCCTTGTGTGATCCCCCTTTTACACTTAATGAAACCATGTAGCCCTCCATTAATTGAGAGTGAAAAGCTGGCAGTGGTAACACATTCCATTACCCAATGTACAAATCTAGAGGGGAAACCCAATCCTTTCATCACATTTTCCAGGAAGCCCTAGTCAATGGTGTCATAGGCCTTAGTAATATCCACCTTTAGCATGTAGTTAGGTGGTGATCTCTT